GAGCAGAACGTGAATTTTAACCTGACTGGACTGGCTGGAAGGAATGGGACTGAGAGACAGGCAATAACCAGGATGTAAGTAAGTGTGTTGGAAGGTAAGGACATAAGCCAAAAAGAAAACAGAGCAGGTAAACCGGTTTATGCATAGACTGCAATTTTAAAGATAGAATTATTTCAGACAACAGGTCGGTGTTTATTAGTCCATAATCTAATCCTCTTATCCTTTGTCCCACACTCACCACACAACTTCCTTTAAATGAACAGAAACAAAAATGTACATACACGTTTGGAAAAAGAATTCAGTAAAAGTCAAGTCAGAGTATACAGCTCTGCTGTTTGGTACGCAGCCACAACCCCACATAATCAGCAGAGTGAACTTTAACCTACTTTTGCTGTGCCAACACAAGAGGGAGGCACCTTTGCCCTACTTTATAATCATTTTTGTAACATAATCCAAAAAACTACCTAAAAGACCTCACAAAACTACAGTCAATGCAGAGAGCTGGTTTATGCTGACACAAATCACTAATTTTTAAAAAAAGAAAAAAAAAACCCCACTAATTTTAAAATGTTACTTTGGTTGTGACAATCAACAATTTGCTCAAAATTCACTTCCTCCCCTACCCTTGTGTGATCAGGGAAGTGTTCATAGGAGAGGTAATTCCCTGGAAAGGTATATCATGCTTGGAAAGGTAGACAGACAGGAAAGGAGAGGAAGACCCTCAACCAGGTGGATTGACACAGTGACTGCAGCAATGGGCTCATCAAGTATGTCAAAGATGATGAGGCTGGTACCAGAAAAGGACAGGGTTTTCAGATATGTTTTTTTCATAGCATTGTTATGAATTGTACGTGACTCCGTGGTACTTAAAAACAATTGGTAGCACCATGATAGATGGAGAAGAGATTGTGATTGTTAACAATTTCAGCTTGCTCAGCTCCACAATCAATACTCTTGGCACCAGCAGTCAAGAAATAAAAAACTGAATTGCATTAGAGAAGTCTGCTGTCAAGGACCTTCTCCAGAGTGCTGAGGAGCAGTGACATTAATCTAGAGACTAAGCCTGATCCAGGCCATAGTCTGAAATTATGTGCTTTGCATCTGAGAGATGGACAATGACTAAGGATGATAGAAGAAGAATTGATGCCTTTGAGCTGTGGTGCTGGAGAAGAGTACTGAACCTGACAGGGACCACCAAGAAAACAAATAGGTCTGTCTTGAGGGTAAAACCAAGTTTCTCCTTGGAGGCAAGGATATTGAAGCTCCGTCTCATATACTTTGTGTATGTGGCCAGGAGAGGCCAGTTCTTGGAGAAGGATATCATGCTTGGAAGAATGAAGGGACAGTGCAGGAGAGAAAGATCCTGGATGAGATAGATGGACACGATAACTGGGGTGATAGAATTAGGTGTGTCGGGGTCAGTAAGTCTGGCTCAGGATAGGGCAGGGTTCAGAGCTGTTATATACAGGATCACTATGAGTCACAGGTGACTCAGTGGCACATAACAACAACAAACAGGAAGGGAGATATGGTGGTTTACTGATAGAGAGTTACACTTCTAATACAAAAGAAAGTGGTTCAAATCCACCAGCTGCTCTAAGGAAGAAAGATGGCAAGTTCTTCCTGTGTGATTTATAGCCTCTGAAAACCTGCTGGAGGAGGGTTAGCTATCAGTTTCAAAGCTATAACACATAGCAGCAACAACAACTAAACAGGAGAAAGATGGGCAATATCTTCCCACGCAATTTACAGCCTCAGAAACTTAATGGGAGGGTGAGGTATGAGTCAGTTCTGGCTAGATGGCAATGACTTTGCTAAACGCATGTACCTCAAATTAATTTCCTGTTGATTTTTAAAAAATTGTCATAATTTGCTCTTTTCTATGAAAACGGCACCAAAATAAAAGAAGGAAGCCCCTGTCCCTCTCAAAACTGAAGCCAAAGCAAAGGTATTAAAAGCCAAGGAGGCAGTCCAGAAGGGCATCCACAGCCAAAAAAAAAAAAAAAAAAAGATCTGCACCCACCTTCCAGCGGCCTAAGACGCTGAGACTCTGAAGGCAGCCCAAATACCCCCGGAAGAGTGCCCCCAGGAGAAACAAGCTTGACCACTATGCCATCATCAGGTTTTCCCTGACCATTGAGTCAGCCATGAAGAAGATAGAAGATAGTAACACACTTGTGTTCATTGTGGATGTCAAGGCCAACAAACACCAAATTAATCAAACTGTAAAGAAGCTCTATGACATTGATGTGGCTAAGGTCAACACTTTGATTAGGCCTGATGGAGAGAAAAAGGCCTATGTTTGACTTGCTCCTGACCATGATGCTTTGGATGTTGCCAACAAAATTGGGATTACCTAAACTTACATCCACTTGGCTAATTTTAAATACAAATTTTTCTCACAAAAAAAAAAAAAATTGTCACATTTTGGCTTATTTATTCAATAGGTATGTTTCTCCTGTTAAATTATTTTGCCACTTATATAATTAGGAATTTCAATTTCTGATAGAAATAGTAGCTAGATGAAATACTTGGGTTAAGATATAATTATTTGATAATCAGAATTACAGCACTGGTAGTACAAGATAAGGTTAAAGACTAAAGAAATAAATGTCAGTTATATGGACTTAATAATTCACCAGGAAATGTCACAATCCTACCGAAGGTCTGGCAAAGGCTTGTTATAAACTTTAAGGGTGAAAGGTGAACCTCCTGAGTCCAAATGACAGTCCAGGTATGCAGATAATTTTAAATTCACATTGTAGATGATTTTTCAAAATTTATCAACTGCTATTAAAAGGGGCAGTATCTAAAATAAATCCACCATACAGACTGGTGAAAACAAACCTAAACCTAGTATCTCGGAGTTGATTCTGACTTTCAGTGACTACGGGGCAGAGGATATCTGGTTCAAAGGGTTTCTGCCCCATTTCTCATAGGCACAGCTAGTTGGTGGCAGTTTGAACTGCTTTAGCCACTGTACCACAATGGTGGTCCCCTCTGATCAGCAAAAAGAAAGGTAACCTATAAATGTGTGTATATGTATTCCCATATAAAAAAACAGGGAAAAGCCCCTATGCTTTCATTCACATATGTAAAATGTGTAAAACTTAACTTTGGGGGGGGAAAAAAGATACATAGAAACACACAAATGAGCTCTGGTGATGTAGTCCTTAAGGAGTTCTTGCGCTACTAAGCCTAAGGTCACACCTCTCTGGCAGCTGAAATCCACTAGTGGCTAGGAGGGAGAAAGATGTGCAAGCTCCTTTCATGTGATTTATAGCCCGTGAAAACTGCTAAAGGATCAGTTGACTCAGTTCTGACTGAAAAGCACAGGACAACATATATGTATGAATATATATACTTAAAGTTGAGTTGAACACTTACTCCACGTAAAACTAAAAAATGTTTTACACCTAAATAACTTTTTTAAATCTCTCAACAATTTTATAAGCCGTCTGTCTTCCAGTCAGTTCTAACTCAAAGAGAGGACACAGAAGCACCCAAAGGGTTGCCAAAGAAGTAAATCTTTACAGAATCAACCTGCCTCATCTTTTTTAACCCCTCTGAGAAGAGCTCCTGGGATCAAATTGACTATCTTTTGAATAGAAGCTGACTGCTTAGGGCTACCAAGACGGCTTAGGGCTCTCTCCTGTCCCCAGGGGAAAAAAAAAGAGTAATTCCTAATGACCATGATACTGTAGAGCTATCTTAAAAGGTATGGCTTTGCATTTTACAGATAAGAACACAGACAGATAAATAAATTGTCCAAGACACAGAAGGCAAGAGGCTCAAAGTCTGATTCAAAGCCCATACTTTGACTCCAAATTTTATGCTTTTAACTACTCTCATGTTATTTCCCATGTCGAAGAAAACTCATGGTCTCGGTTATTTATCCTATATATGAGAAAAATAAAGCCCAGTTACATATGTTTGTTTAAAGTCACACAGCGGATAAATTTAAGTTTGGTGACTTGAAATCATATGATCAGCTCAGTGATAGACAGCTTCAACGCATAAGAACCTCAAAATCAATACAAAGACACGTTCACAAAAACTCTTGGCTTTTGAAAAAAAAAATGGTTAAACTATAAATGTAGAAAACAAATAATAACTGTAAGGAAACACACAAGTGATAAGAGTAGGCATATGAGTAGTAAAAGAAATGATTTATTTCCTTAATCCCTTTTCCAATCCTGAAATATTTCAATTTTCTGTAATGTACAATTAATGTTCCGCAGGAAATTAATGTAATTTGTATTAAGTACAACACGCAATATGTAGTCACATTTCACCTTACAGAACTGGGATAGGAAAAACGTTTAGTTTCTCCAAACATCTACTTTAACCCTTTTATTGCCAGTTTAAAGGGGGGGGGGGGAAGCTAATTCATACCTTCCGAGAATTGTCAGAAACAAGAGTAGAAACACATACGTATATTGTAATATCTACAAATTGCATAACTTCTCATTGAAATGTAAATATACTATACGGTGACACTGGATTTTTATGACAAGTACAAACACGGTTTTGCGGGGAGTGGGGGTGGAAATGAGGAATGATAGTAATATACAAAATCGGTTAATTTAATTCACGAAATGTTTACGATAACGCTTTTTTGAGCAAGTGCTGTGAAGACACAAATATGTCAAAAACTGAACTCCCAATTTATTGGGCAAATGCAAGGCTATTCTTAAAGGAAATAAGAGGGGCGTGAGCGCAGAAAACCTGTGCAAAGTTTCAGACTTAGTGAATGGATCTGCGAAAAGTTAGAAGTTATGAAGCCTGAAATCGCCGCAGGAGTCGGAGTTACAGGATGTCAGTGTCCCTTCGCAAGGACACAGGGGACAGGGTCTCAGAGCAACGTCTCCCCTACGAGGGCTGGGTCCCCAGGGCGAATGGCAGAAAGGATGCAGCCAGGGGTAGACGCAGCTGCGAAGCAGCCCTCGTCCCTACAGGAGTTCTGCTCCACTATCCGAGAGCTCTCCGCTAGGCCTCACCTGGGGAGCGGAGGGTCCTGGAGGAAGTGAAGCGGCTGAGGATGCCAATCGCCCGAGAGGCCACCATCTTGGGGAAGGACGAAAGTAGAAAGCCCTGCGAATGTGGCCGAGCAGAAGATTTTTCGTCCCGCAGCCTGGCCTTGGTCGGGCGCCCAATGCACTGCCTGACTAAAATCCAGATACGGAGTTGCTCCTGGCTCCTCAGCTTTGTCCTTCGAGTCCGGCTGATAGTATTACAAGGACACTTTTTCCTACTGAAGAAAGGCAGCCGGTGAAGCAGGGGGCGGCGATGTGGATTTTCTAGGCAGGCGTGCAGCGGGCAGTCCGTGTGGGCGGGGCGGGGCCAGGGCCCCTTCTGAGCCGTGGCTGCCCCCTGAGAGCGCAGAGTATTGCTGGCACTTGGGTGGGAAACTTGTCCCGTGTCCTGTCTGTAGCGGACTCTGGTTAAGGTACGTGTGCTCGGCTTTCCACCTAGCCTTTCCCCCAGGCAAGATTAGCATTTCTTTTTCCTACCTGTTGCGCCGATGGCTGCTGCTGTTCTCTCGAGATACCCAAATTTGGGAAAGCGGAAGAACGCTTCTCAGACAAAGTCTACAATACGGGTAAACACGACGATTTGGGTAACTGTATCGCTGAGCAGCACTTGTCACCTGTGAGATTTTGCTGATTTTTTTTCTTTTGTTTTTAAAAAACTTGATCATGACATTTTACTTACGACACTGCAACTTTGGAGTATTGTTTTAGCAGCAGCTGTAGAGATTCAGAGGAACGTCTGAGTGGTTCAGACGTTTCATTAGCTGAGTTGCTCTTTGAAAGGGTGCAGTTTCTGGCAGTGTTTGGTAAGAAGGAAAGACCTGGCCTGCTAACGAAAAGTCAAGCCACTGTAAACCCTATGCAGTACAATTCTGCCCTGGTGTACTCTGTCTCCGGTGTCAGTTGAAAACCCCGTAAATAGGTGCTTGTCATTATGTGCCTTGAAACCGAACCGGGTTATAGTTGAGACCCTCCAGTAAGTTTTCACAGGCTGTGTAAGTGCACGGGAGGAGATTGCCCATCTTTTTCCTCCAGAGCAGCTGGTGGATTCGAACTATGTGTCCTTAGGTTGGCAACGCAACTCCTTAGTACGAGTCCACAAGAGCTCCCCAAAATAGATGGTAACGGATGGTTTTTGTAGAGGTTCAGGTCCGAGCCGTGAGTCTGCATACACTATTTTCTGCAGTAAAGGGTGGAGCTGGTCATGTGACTTTTTGAGTGTGGAGGTTAAAGCCATCCTACTCGGCATATTTTCAGAAAATGGAGATCATCGAGTCATTTACCTTCTTCACTTTATCGCTAAGGAAACGGAAACTCATAAAACAGATAGATTGATATTACCCAAGATCACAGTTGGTAACAGTAGGATTACTAACTTCCAGTTCAGAGCTCTGCGTTGCCTGACAGTTCTTGTCCCAGCATCCTGTGAATAAGATGATGTATTCCATAAGGAAGTAAACGCGAAACCTCCTGTACCCCAGACACTTTCATCTCATCTAATCCTTACAACTCAAGCATTTTATAATAATTAATATTTTCTAAATGAACTATGAGAAGCCGAGAGAGATCAGGTAAGGTTTTGGTAGATGGCAGGACCTAAGTGGATCCAGAAATAAATCCGAATCTCACTACTCACTAGATTGACAAGAAAGAAAGCATGAAGGGCTGGGGAAGTTTCTGCCAAAGTGAAGTAGTCCCTCAACGGTTTGAGAACTTTATGCAGAAAATGAATGACCAGAAATCACTTTTTAGGAAATTGTAAAAAAAAAAAGATTCTTGGTACCCTCTGAAGGCCCTCCAACTCAGGTTTGGGTTTGAGGGTGTTTTTTTAAAATTTTTCTTCATTTTCATACAGTTACTGATATACTTTGTGCTTCATTTGTGTACCTTGTGTTCTATCTAATTAATTAGTATTGATAAATGCCGCTTTTTGTTCATGTAGGTTGTGTTTTATACATTCATTCATTCATACACCTTGTGTTTGATATAATTCTTTTGTTCCCCCACTTTCTTCTGCTGCCATTTCCTATTAATTATGACCGTGTTGTCCTCCTATCTACATAATGCTGTCTTCTGTACTTAATTATATATCTTAATTATATATAACACTTACTATTTAGATCAAAGCTAAGAAACTTTTCATACAAAAAGCAAGAGGGTAAATAGCCCAATACGTCCCTGCCATATATTCTTGGTTGTTTTATTTTACATCTCTTGAATCATATACAGACTATTCTTACCAGAAGGTTCATGGACTCAAGTTTGCCAAACACTGATTTAGATCCATTCTCCTTTTGGTTCTTGAATTTTTTTTGTCCAGCACATTCATAAGACTCTGGAAATGTTGCTATGCTTGTTTGATTTGCATTACGTTTTTATAGTGGTTTGTACACAGTAGGGACTAAGTACATTTCTGCCGCTCACTCTGGTGGCCTACTGCTAAGGAGCTGCACTGCCAACCTGAAGGCATGTGGTTCAAATCCATCAGCTGCTCCACAAGAGAAAGATGGACAATTTCCTAGCATACAATTTACTGCCTCTGAAAACCCACTGGGAGGGTCAGTCATGATTTGCTTCCTACTAGATGGTACATAAGAACAACATTTGTTTTGTTGTTGATTGCCTTCAAGTTGAGCACAACTCATAGCAACCCTGTGAACAAAAACCCTGAAGCCCCTCTACAACTTTCGGTGCTTATCAAAGTTCATAGAGTTTCCGGAGGCATGTTATTTAGGAAGTGGATGCCACTCCTGCTTCCAAACACTAGTAATAACAAAACAAACATAGCCCTAAGTATCTATCAAATATGGTTCTAAATACAGTATATGCATTGTAATCACCAGCTGCTCCACTCTGAAAACCCACAGGAATATCAGCATGGGTTGGTTTTCAGTCTGCGGTACACAACAAGAACAACAATTAATCCTCACAACACCCCAAGAGCTATAATTATTTGCATTTTGCAGATGAACCTCCTAAGACAAAGAAAAGTCACATGTTTAAACCATTTGTACAGCTAGTTTGGGACCTGAATTCGTACATCCTCAGTGCTCTTGCCTTGTATAAGACCTCTATGCATCCTGCTTTGATGACTTGCCTAACCTCTTCATTTCTCCCTTGCTTACACGTGTATCTTTCCACAGTTCCCTGCTACAACCCATTTGGTTTTGAAGCTCTCATGCTCCAAAAATTCTATAGTCAACATTCCAATTTTCTGAAGTTTGGAGCAAATAGTAGTAAAAGTCAGCCCTCCTGTTGGGTAGGTTGTTTAATCAAAAGCCGGAAAAACCAAACCACCGTCACAGAGTCGATGTGGACTCATGGTGGCCCTATAGAACTGTCCCATAAGGTTTCCGAGGCTGTACATCTTTACAGAAGCATATTGCCTTCTCTGTCTCCTGAGCAGCTGGGTGGTTTATATTGCCTACCTTTCAGTTAGTGGCTAAATGCCTTAACCACAGCACCACGAGGAATCCTTTGCAAGAGGCTTGGACCCTCAATTTTAAAATCAACCAGTATTTATTTCTCTTTCTTTCTCTCATACTAGCTATTGAAGATTTACATATCTCATTTTCCACAAACACAAGTGATGCTGCAATGAACGTTTTGAAATACCCTACTGTAGGCTTGTGTTGGATGTCACCAAGTTACAACAGGACGAATCCCTGCCCCACCTTATGCCCTCCGTATGGTCTCTGCTGTGTTTAAGCCCATTGTTGCAGTCACTGTGTCAACAGGTCTGAGTCACATGTATTTTGATAGTTGGCATCAGAAGTAGCTTCTGCAAACAGTTTTGCTCATCTTGTGGACTTAATACTTTTTAAATACTTTTAGGCTAATGAGCTTGTACTCCACCATCTCTTTCCAATCCACATGTTTGGCAAGTAATTTGCTTCTTTTAGGAAGCTGTAGGTCATTGACCTTTTAATTTCCAAGATCCTAGAGGAATTAAACCTTTAAGTCTTTGTGTTAGAAATCTATTGCTGTGTAGCAAATGACCCTGAAGCATAGTTTAAACAAGGACTTCATTTCTGAGGGTCACAAATCTGGGGATGACATAGCTGGATTGTTCTGGCTTGAGTCTCTCATGAGATTGCAGTTGGAATGCTGTCCAGACCTGCAGTGATCTGAAAGCTTGGCTGGCTGGAGGGTCAGCTCCAGGCTCACTTGCATGACTGTGTCTGGTGGTTTCTATTCCTGTCCGCCTGGACCTCTTCACAGGGCTGCTGTGACATGGGAGCTGGACTCCTCTGGAACGAGTGAGCTGAGAGAGACAAGACAGTAGCTGAAGTGACTTTCGGTGAATTCTTTTGATTTCATAGACCAAATCAGGATCAGTATGGGGGGAAATGATGTAGAGGGTCAACACAAGAGTGGAGGTAGTTGGGAACTGTCTTGGAGACTGACAACCACAGCCTTGGTAGGCAGATCTCACAAGCTTGCTCTTTTATAAGAAAAAAACACTAAAAATATAAAAATCATAGAGATAAGCAGTTAAAAATTTTTCTCCACTCTCTTCCCCTGGTTACTGAGTTCTCTTCCAGCTAACTTTTACTTTGAATATTTATATATCCAGTTATATTTTATGTATATATAAGGGGAAAAATATAAATATGTGTATGCAGTTTTTGTTTTTAACAGAAGTAATAAGATTTTGTACATACTATTTTATACCTTGCTTTCCCCCCCACTTAATAATATAGCTTAAAAAAATGGTACCCTATTGAGGCATAATCATCCCTTTGTCTTTTCTCTTCATTGAGTGGTGGTAGCATGATATACTTAAGAAGTTCCTTGTTTGTGGGTTTTTCTCATATCTTGCTATTACATACAGTGCTGCCCATGGTCAAGTCCCGTGTTCAAGTCAAGGCCATTAGTATTTCCATTTCTGTGAAGATCTATTCACATCCTTTGCCATTTGCCTTTCCCTCGGCCTCTCTTACTGATTTGCAGGAATGATTGATTTATAGAATGCATTATTAGTACTTTGGTTTTGTATTGTTGTTTAAAAAGGAGAATTGGTTTCTATTTTAAATATATTGGGTTTTGTTATATAGACTTAAACAAAAAATTACAGTATTTTGAGTCCTAAACAACTTAAAGATACAAATGCAGAATGAAGAAGTTTTATTTCCCTCTGTTAGTTGAGAGTAAGTTACGTTACAAAAATGATGGATTACTGGGCCTGAATACGGGAGGGTGTGTTTCCCTCAAACACAAACATTGCATAAGTCCTTCAGTAGTCACAATTTTCATTTTTGCCATTAACTGCAGTGTAGAGTAGTGAACTTGTGTGTAACAAAGCGGATGTCACATGGTTTTTGTGCCGTGAACATGACTTAATATGTTTGTGTCCATTGTTGTGTCCCTTATGTGGCCCCTTCCAACCTAGGAAGCTCACCTTCCAGCACCGGGTCAGACAAAGCTTGGTTGTGTTCCTTAGGATTACCTCTGACTAGTTTTTAAAATGAGTTGGTTGCCAGACTTTTCTTCCTAGTCAGTCTCAGTCTGGAAGCTTCACTGAACCCTGTCCATCTGGGGGAACCCTGCAGGTAGTTGAAATGCTGGACATCACAGCAACACACACCTGCCACAGAGAAACCGACTGACAGACACGTGGTGGCTTAATCATAGCAAAGCTCAGAAGCCAAACCTGTTAGCATTAAGTTGATTTCTTCTTATAGTAACCCTATGAGTTGGTGTAGAACTTCCCCATAGAGTCTCCAGAGTTGTCATGAAGACGTGTAGCCTAGTGGTACAGTGGATAAGTGATTGGCTGGTTACTGAAAGCTTGGTGGTCCAAATCCACAAGCTGCTCTGTAGGAGAAAGAGGTGGGGATCTGCTTCCGTAAAGAGTACAGTATTGAAAGCCTCACTGGGCAGTTTTACTCTGTTCTACAAGTTGCCCTACTGGGGTAGTTTGACACATCCAGTTTCTCGGCTGCTAGCCTGGTGTTGGAGCCACTCCGTTTCTCCTTTCAGGAGGGTTTACAGCCTCGAAATCTGATGGAGAGTCACTGTGAGTTGAACTTGGTTCTGTGTTGATGGGCTTGGTTTGTTTTGGTCATGGGGACACCAGGAATAGGAATTTATCTAACAGCCATGGATTTGATTTTGTTAATCTTCAAGGAAGCATATTATTACACTTTTCTCCCATAGATCAGCTAGTGGGTTCAGACTGTCTACCTTTTGTTTAAAAGTTCATCAGATAAAACCACAGCACCACCAGAGTTCCTCGTAATCACAGTAAACCCACCAAACCCACTTTCATAGTGAGTCAATTCAGATTCATAGTGACCCTTTAGGACAGATGAGTACTGCCCTGTGGGGTGTCCAAGGCTGTAAGTCTTCACTGAAGTAGACTTCCTCTCCTCTCTCCCAAGGCGTGGCTAGTGGTTTGAACCACCAGCTTTTTGGTTAGCTTAGCCATAGTGCTACCAGACTTCTATAATTACACAAACAATCTTCTAAATCAGGAAATTAGCATCTGTGGTTTCATGAACAGGACTAGTGGTTTGCAGCATAAATGCTGGAGCAGCACTGCTTGGATTCAAATCCGAGTTCTGCCATTTTTTTTACTGTGGGTCTTTGAGGAAGTCACTTAGCCTCTCTGTGCTTCAATTTTCTTATCTCTTACAAAGGGTAGGATAATAAAGCATACATTAAAGGTTGGTATGGGGATTTATAGGAGTTAATACTTAGAAAAGCAGTGCTTGGAGATCCTGACGCTGTCGGACGCCTGCCACCATGAAGTTCAACCCTTTCGTTACCTCGGACCGCAGCAAGAACCGAAAACGCCACTTCAATGCCCCTTCGCATGTGCGCAAGGAAGATCATGTCCTCCCCTCTGTCCAAAGAGCTGCGGCAGAAGTACAACGTGCACTCCATGCCCATCCGCAAGGATGACGAGGTGCAGGTGGTGCGAGGACATTACAAAGGTCAGCAGATTGGCAAGGTAGTCCAGGTGTACAGAAAGAAGTATGTCATCTACATCGAAAGAGTGCAGCGTGAGAAGGCTAATGGTACCACAGTGCATGTGGGCATTCACCCAAGCAAGGTGGTTATTACCAGGCTGAAATTGGATAAAGATCGGAAAAAAATTCTTGAACGTAAAGCTAAGTCTCGGCAAGTTGGAAAAGAGAAAGGCAAATACAAGGAAGAACTAATTGAGAAAATGCAGGAGTGAATGCAACCTGAGGAGCAACCGCAGTTTAACTAGATTTTCATCTGAGTATGCGTTCTTGTGATGTTCCAAAGTGACCCTCTCATTCAGAAGTGATTATAAATCTGCCTTTGCAATTTTGATTCCTATTTTTAAGAATAAAAATTGAAAATGTTTTCCCAAAAAAAAAATACTTAGAAAAGCAGATGAGCAATTTTAAAACTGTGTCAATATAAATAACTAGCAATATTGTTAGAGGAAGGAAAATTGGTAATAGGATACCTTTGTAGGATTTCCTGATAGGCACAGATTTATGTTATGAGAACTCATACACTGCAATAACAAAACAAAATTAAGAGAACCCAAGCTGCTGAGAGGATTTAATTTATACACAGTAGCCTTTCTTCCACAGAACCACTGGCTTGCTTTGAACTGCTAGACTATAGATTAGCAGCTGAGAGTCTAATGCTTGCACCACATAGGAACTCTGAGCCTGAATTATATGCTATAATATGTTTGCGTAACCCAGAATATGTTTCTGTTTTCTTTTTAGATATCAGAATGACTTCCATTTTGACTTGCACTTTTAAAAATCTTCCAAGTACATCAAAATGGGCCCTCAGATTTTGTAAGTTTAAATGTTCCTTTCTAGTTTTAAGATTGGATTTTGATTTATGAACATCTTACATAAGCACTGTATTTTAATTATTTGTCAAACTGTATCCTTTGTTTTCTAGCTGTAAGACCTCTGAGCTGTTCTTCCCAGCTATGGGCTGCCCCAGGTACAGTAATTTATAAAATAAACATTTCTGTCTCATATAGGAGTTCTAAATTCTGTATTTCAGCATTATAAATAAAAAGTCAGAATGGTATCTTCATTCCCCCCCTTTTTGTCAGCAACATGAATGTCACTGTTCATATTAAAGAAATAGGATTGATCAATAATAATAAAACAGTTTGCTGAATCGGACATGAGGCTGTTTTCTGGGATTTAGAGCTTAATGGCATTCCATGAAGCTTGCTGGTGGTATTATGCGCCCTTTGTCAGTCAGTCCTGTACATTGTTAGCTTGAGACCATTTTTTGAGCCAAAAGTTAAGCTGACAGATTTTGCTGTTGAGTAATCAGCTTCTTTATTGGTCAGTGTCTTTTCCATTATAGGAGACAATTTGTTACTAAAGTAGAGGTGACTGAGGAACTCAATTAAGAAAAAGATTCTTTACTGAGTGTGAAATGGGAACAGTAAGGAATGAGTTGACTGCAAAAGGTTGTTTTGATCTTCAGGAGTACTCAGTGAACTAACTTTTTTTGGTTTGTTGAGAACTATTTTGGTTTTTACTTTTACTTTTTTTTGCAGAGCTTCTTGTAAGTATGTATTTACAGTTGCATTGCTAAAAATACTCTTGACAAAGTCTTAGCAATTATTTTCCTCACCTTGGTCTATTTTGGCCTGTAACCTCCCTGCCCTTTTACTTTAAACTTTGTATAGGTTAGCATACAAAATTCAGGTATATTTTGTTTCACTCTGTTCTTCATTCACAGTTGTGTTTCAGTCTGTTCTTCATTCACAGTTGTGATTTCTGTTTCACTGTGTTATTTCTCCTTGTATAGTAACATTAGAAAACACACTTTGTCTCCCTTCAGAATATCTGGGCTCTGTTTTGATTTCCCCCCCTCCCCTAGATAATATGACTTTGAACTGGTCATTTTATTTCTCTATGCTTTAGTTTCCTATCAAAGAAAAAAAGAAAGAAAATCTTATTAACCTATTGTAATTGTGAGACCATCTAAAAGCACTTTGAGAATCATTACTTCATATAAATGTTAAGATGATACATGTTTTCATTATTTGACATAGTAAAACCAGGACAGGAGAAGAATTGATGCCTTTGAGTTGGAGCAGAGTACTGACTATCCCATGGACTACCAAAGATCAAAGAAGTATGTGTTAGGGAACGTGAAGCCAGAGTGCTCCTTGGAGGCAAGGATAGTGAGGCTTTGTCTCCCATACTTCAAACATGTTGCTAGGAGACAGGCGTTGTGCTTGGAAAGATGGAGGGTCAGCGAAAGGAGGAAGACCCTCATCCAGGTGAATTGACACAGTGACTGCAGCAGTGGGTGTGAGTGTGATAGAGACTGTGAGGTTAGGACAGGACAGGGTTCAGGTCTGTCGTTTAAAGGGTCACTGTGAGTCATGCTCAACTCAGTGACATGTAATGATGACAGCTTGGTGAAACCATTAACAAGGATTTCCTTTACCTCAGATCCACAAACTATGTTGTTGAAATCAAGTGACTTATTACAAAAGGACAAATGTGCTGCCAAGGACTTCTTTAAAGTGCTAGAGAGCAAGGATGTCACTATGAAGTCAAAGGTACACTTGACCCAAGCCCTGGTATCTTTGGTTGCCTCATATGCATGTTAAAGTTGAACAACAAATAAAGAAGATCGAAGAACTGATGCCTTTGAATTATGGTGTCAGTGAAGAGTATTGGCACCATCAAAAGCACAAATAACTCTGTCTTGGGAGAAGTACAACCAGAGTGTCCCATAGAGGCAAGGGTGGTGAGACTTTACCTCACATACTTCAGGCATATTATCAGGAGGACATTGTGTCCCTGCAAAAGGTTATCATGCTTGGAAAAGTAGAGGGTCAGTGGGAAAGAGGAAGGAAGATCCTCAGTGAGATGGACTGACAGTGGTTACATCAATGGGCCCAGTGCAGTAGATTGGGGGGGCGGTGCTGAACTGGGCAGGGTTTGGTTCAACAGAAGTAAACAGTCGATGCCTAGGGCCTCCTTAGACTTGGAGCCAACTGACTGGCACCTGGCAGCATAGAAAAACCTGGGAAAACTGTGTGAGGTCGAAACCTTCTGGAGAAGGAAAACGAAGATATTTTCCACTAAATAGCAGTAAGAAAGTGGTGGCTGTATCCCAGCCCCAACAAAGGCAGAAAATGTAGAAGACTTGGGAAAGAGGCTTTTGCTTGGAGTTGCTGCTCTTCAGGGATTTAGTTTATATTCTCAGAGTTCTGTTGCCTAAGCCTGACTGGAGATGTTTCATGTTGTCATATGACAAACACATTTCCTGTGACCTCTAAATTCTAACAGATGAGAAGTGCTATGAGCTGCTCTTTCATTTCACCTTTCCCCTAATTCTAAAGCTCATCCAGGCTCTTGCAAAATCACACACATGGACCTGATTCCTTGCCAACTGGGATAAGGTCAGGCTGAATCCCTGCAGAAGTAAAGCATTTATCTGGCATTTAGCATGTCCTTTCACTTTTTTTAAAAAATTGGTTTGCATACAGTCTTTCACATATATTATGTTTCATTCATGTACATTGTGTTTCATACAATCTTCTACATTGTTATTTCCTTCATGTTCCTTTAGCATTTTACATTTTCATCTCCCCAATTATATTGTAAGCTTCTAGGAGACTTAAGTCTTTTTGTATCCCCAGTGTCTAATGCAATGTCCTGTATGTAATTTAATACTGACAATGATGGTGATGCAAGAAGGCACATGATAAGACAAAGAAATGTGACCTGCTGATTTGAGGGGAGAGAGCAAGTGTGTGCACCTGTGCTGAGCATGTTTTAGATTGCAGTGATTTTATAACTCATTCCTCCTGAAGTTTGTATGTCAGCCCTGCTTGCCAGAGCTGTGGAGGCTGAAAGACTTGGGAGAGAGAGAAATATTGATGTTTTCAGTCATCTAATATACTAGAATAGATAGTTAGATAGATCTAGAGATATTTAGATATATATAGATAGATATTATATATAGATCTGCCTATCTATGTAGATATCTGATGGACACATTAGACCATGAAACATACATACATGCAGGCATATATCATTTGTATTCTCTATGACTCATCTTTCATTTTATCCAGCCTTACTTTTATTCTATATATAGAACATAGGACATCTATTAGTCAGCTGTAGAACCCTAGCATTCTGAAGAGCCTTTGAGGTCATCTTGTCCAACTTCCATATTTATAGAAGAGGAAGCTTTGGTCAAGAATTTATATCCAGATATTTTTAACTCCCAATTCAGAATTTTTTTTTAAATTTTTATTTTATTATTTTGTGTGGGAGTGTACCGTCAAATCAGATCTGACTGGTACAGGAGGAGATTGTCCCTCCTTCCCCGGCAGAGCATCTGATGGATTTGAACTGTGCGCCTCTGGGATTGTAGTTGCAGCTCCTTACCACTAGGCCACCAGAGCTCCCCTCCAATTCAGATTTTTATACTTCATTGCTTCTATGTGCCGACAGACCCATGGAATATTTAAAAAAGAAATAAAATTAATCTTGAGAAAATTCTGGTGTGGTTAGAAGGCAACATATACAGGAAACTGAATGAGGGTTCTTTGAGTAACTGTTGAGTACATAATGAATAATGAGCATTATTTTCCTTAATGTGGCTTGTAGAATGATTTTATAACAGTAAGTAGACAGCACAGGGTACTGACTAGCCGCTCTATGGCCTTGCTGTTGGCTTTAATCTAATCAGCTTTGGCTAAGGGCTGAAGGTCCGGGTGTCTGTTTTCTCTTGGACAGACAGTGAGCAGGGCAGCTCTCTTGGCAGGTGTCTGTGGGCAAGCAGGCACTGTAAAATAAGGCTCTGCTGTTTTTGTTTTTAAATTCTAGACTTCATGTTTCTTGTGATTCCTCCATCTGTACTTCACTTCTCAGTTTTAGTTTCATATCTTTAGCTACTTGCTAAGGGAACTTCACCATCACCTTGAAGTTAGCAGGTTTGAAACGCTGTCCTTTTTCATCCAAGACCATTCTCATTCTGTTTAGAGTAGTCAGGTCTTTTTAATCTCTGATCTTGTATAAACTTGTTTTCCTTTCATTCCCTAGCTCATTAGTCACCAAGATGCTTGGTCTTCCCTTCTCAGATCTCTTGAGTTGGTCCTTTCCTCTCCATTCACATTAGTGTTACTTTTGTCCTGGCCTTTCATACTTCATGTTTGAGTGTGCGTCTTCCTACTTTTATCCCCTTGCTTTTTTCCACCTCCATTAAAGCTGCCAGGATCGTCTTTGTATCCTGTTTTATCATCACTCTTAGCTCTGACTACTTTTCTTCAAGTTGGTTGTAGAATTACGTATTCTTATGACAACACAAAACAACATATCAGAACTACTTCTCTTTGATGTTGAATGTGGGTTTTTGAAATTTTATTCCCAATTATTCTGGATTTTTTCTTTATGTGTAGTGAAGAAGTGATGATTTTAAAGAAGATTCTGATGTTAACAATTGTTTAAAAAATTGAATATACAAAGGCAACAATATAATGTTCTATGATATTTGAGAGGCATTAGTCATTGAACTTCTAATATTAAGGACAGACTTAGTTAATAAAATTGTTGTTGTCCTGTAGAGTCGGAACTGACCTACCTGTGGATTTTCGGAAACAGTGAATTACACGAGAGGAGATTGATTGTCCATTCTTCTCCCGCAGAGTGACTGGTGGCCTTGAACTGTACACCTTCAAGATTTCAGTGCAGCTTCTTGCCCTTAGGCCACCAGAGTTTCCTAGTTATAAAAATTAGTTGCTTTTAATATGATAGATTGTTACACACTTAATAAAACATATTTTTTATTATTTGTTTTCCTCTCTCTGTAGTTCTAAAAGCCACTTAGTTGATAACTTTTGTTACTATGCAAAAACTTAGAATGCTCCCTGATTTTATCCTCATTCAGTTTAGAAACTTAAAAATGCTCATCAGTTTCCTAGCCTTTTTAATACTGGATTGATTTACTAAGTGGCAAATGCAATAAAGCTATGGATGATCAGTTTCTTCCTAGAAAGTCTTTTATACTATAACAAGACATATGATTTAATTTATGTGAATTATTAGGTCTTTGAATTTTGTCTTAAAGCTCCTCAGACCAAGACAAAGAAGACCTTAACCAAGCCCAACATAAGGAATATTGTGGTGGTCGATGGCGTTCGCATTCCATTTCTGCTGTCAGGCACTGCGTGAGTATTAATGGTTTTGTTCCTTATTTTTTCTCTATAGGCACTTTCAAAAAGTGATCTTTGTAAATAGTTCCCAGCAGGTCATTATGGATAACATTTTTATAATACTAAGTGAAAATAAGGGAGGTTTGGTGGCTTAGTGGCAAGAAGCTATACTGCATTCCCAAAGCACATGGTTCAAATCTACCATCTGCTCCGCAGGAGAAGGATGGGCTCTCTCCTCCCATGCAGTTTACTGCCTCGAATAACCCACAGTGGGCAGCTATGGGTCAGTTCCAACTTGACAACACACAACAAGAAGAAGTGAAAATAATGGCAAAATTTGTTTTACATCCTTTCTTGTGATGAAGCTTAATTTACCAGTAGTTTGAACTAGACCTGCTTTGAAATTTTGCATGAACTCATATACTTTGTTTCTAGAAGTTTACTTGTATAGTGACAAGTGCATTGTTAGATGTAGCAGCATACTTTAACAAATACTCTTGCATATTTCAAACAATTGAAAGGATATTTTATTAAAGCTCTATGACTTTGGTTGAAATTATTTGTTCTCTTTTTCCAGATACAAGGACTTGATGCCCCATGATTTGGCTAGAGCAGCATTAACGTAAGTAGACACAGCTTCATTTTATTCTTCTGTTAAGGGCAATTTTTCTCCATTTTTTATGCTTGAAATAACTTAAAAAAGATATTTAATAGAATTTTCACATCCAGAAGTTAATAGCTTTTATGTGGTAAGAAAAAAATGGATTAACTTTTTCATAAGATTAATTTGTTCTTCACTTTAACCTTACACAAGTGAACACTGGTGTTAAATGTCAGTATCCCTCATCTTGTAGGCAAAAGAAAAACCTCTTTGGCTGGCAGTGTTTAATAAATATTCCAGCTGGCCATAAGCTGTTTAAATAAGGAATACATTTTTTCTCACCTTTTCATCTCCAATGTAAATCATATAATCATCTGATTCAGAATGTCCCATTCCAGTTCATCTCATTTGGCCAATACCTAATATTTATGCGTTCCATTTCATTCTTAATGATGTCCAGTTTTTCTACATTCATGCTTCTCACATTCTACATTCTGATCATTAGTTTCTGCTTACAACTGTTCCTCCTTTGTGTTTCCAAATTTGAGGGCTCAGCCTCAGTTGCCATATCTTTTAATCTACTTTAATTGTGCTCAGTTGTACATAGAGTTTTTGAAGGCCTCTTATATTTTGGAAGTGGATGCCAAATCCTTCTTCCTCTTATTGTTGTTGATTGCCGTCACGTTGAGGTCAACTCATAGCAACTCTATGAACAAAAGACCTTATCTCTCGTTGTTTCTCTAAGTTCATAGTTTCCAGAGGCATGTGGCTTAGGAAGTGGATGCCACTCCTGCTTCCCAACCTGTTTTACAACTGGGAGCTCCACCAAACCCTGTGCACAACGGGAAACCGTTCTGGTATTTGATATCCCATGGCACAAGGTTCAGCATCACAGCAAACCCAGGTTACCTCATACAACACATTGACAAAGAGTGATGTACCAAGTGAAAGAATGTTCCTCCAGATATAACAGCATTAGTGTCAATTAGCAGTGGTTAAGTGTTCTCAAGTCGAATATGACTCAGTAAGTTTTGCACAAAAGACCTGAAGTCTGTTTATAATTAACATAATTTCTGTACATTTATAAGAGAGTTTCTAGTCTGTCTTAATTTGGATTCTTAGCTTTGGAACAACCTGACAGACAAATGAAAGACACTTCCCCTTACAGAGATAACCATACAAGCAATGCCTTCCCCCTGCATGTGTGTTTTCTCTCTTCCCTTTCTCTGAATATTAGCATAGTTTGCAGTCCCTCCTAACCTGTCCAGCACCCTTCTCCTCCAGCAACCCTTTGATATGTGGCTTAGGCCACAAGTCACTTCAGTGATGTGTTGCACCTCAGAATGTTGCTGGTCTCTCATGCTGATTTCTGTCTTACATTTAGAAGGATTTAAATCTATATCTTATGTATCAGTTGCAGGGGGGCATTTTTGTCTCAGGCAGCACTGGAGAAAGATTCTTGTCCCTGAGCTTCTGTTCTAGGACTGTTGTCTTGTGGCATAGCATCTCTGCTCTTTCTTTTGCACCACATTGCTGTCACAATACAATAATTTCGTGTTTAAAAAAATTTTTTTTAAATTTATTATTAATTTCAATGAAAATTTAGAGTCTCTGGATTTCCATTCATTCATTCATTGTTGCACTTTTCTCCCCTCCTAACCCTCCTCCCAGTACACTACCCTCTTGGAAAAGTAAAAGAAAAATTCTTTCATTGTTTTACAAACCCTCCCCCAGGTCCACTCCACTATGCAGCCTTCGCTGTGGACTCCTATCATGACAAAAATACCTAATCACATATCCCTTTTAAACAGTTTTCTCTCTTATCTATTTCAGTGCAGTATACATTATTATTTTTTTTTTTGCAGTATACATTATTGAACCTATCTTTCTCAGTCTCTCCCCAACCCCAACAGGTCAGTCCTGTTTTACAACAGTGGCACCATGCAGTATTTGTCCTTTTGTGACTGAGATATTTCACTCAGCATCATGTCCTCCAGGGTCACCCATTTTGAATAATATTACATGAGTTCCTTGTTTTTCAATGCAGCATAGTTAGTATTCCATTGTGTGAATATACCACAGCTTCTCTATCCATTCGTTTGTTGATGGGCACTTAGGTTGTTTCCAACTCCCTGCTATTGTGAACAAAGCCGTGATAAACATGGGTGTGCATATATCTGCTTGGGTGTCAGTTATGGTTTCTTTGGTGGTTATTCCCAGTAGTGGAATTGCTGGGTCAAACGGTAATAGATCATTTCTAAGGTGAGGACTATGTCTCCTTTAGATCTGGCATGTTAGGGTTGTTTATTTGTCCCAGGGGCCCGATAGGCCTGCTACAGACCTGGACCTGAATGTCCTGACTGGCCTAGGCTGGCTGGTTGTTAACAAAACCAGTGGGATCCTGGGAGAATGGGCAGTACCTGAGTGGGACACAATTCATTTTCATACAATAAAGTGCACTAGTTTTAAGTGTATAGTTTAATGAGTTTTGACATATGTGCATACCTGCTTTCCTGGCTTGTTAATACAGCCCCACTAATCCTTGAACCCTTTATTACTTTCTGGTACAGAAATGGTAAATGAGGTTTACTTTGTATTTGCCTTGTCCCAGACTTACTATCTTTTATTTTTTTTTTCTTGAGATTTTAATGAAAGTTTACAGAAAATTTGAATTTCCATTCCTGTCTTGTTTTTTTTTTTTTTTATTAAATTTTATTAGTTTTAATGAACATTTACAGGGATTTTGGGTTTTCATTCCTTCATTGCTGCACTGTTTTCTCCACCCTCCTCCCCAGTTTGTTCTTCTTCCCCCGTCTCCCGAATGTCTGTCTTAATTGTCCAATTGCCACAGTGCTTGTCAAAGCCAGTTCTGATTAATCTCCTCTGTCAGTGTGTCCTTTGCCATTCCCTATCATTCCTCCCTGAGAGAGACTTCACCCTGAGTCATAAGGAAAAGGGGATGGCATATTCTCTTAGCTACTTCCTGCTGAAAAGGGACGCTGTGGGTTTCAGGGTGAATGTCTTCTCTCACTACTCTAAAGGGCTCCTTTGGCAGTAGGAAACACATAGACTATTATGGAGATTGAGTTAGGAATTTAGATGCACTGTTATTGTGTTTAGCCGTACATGTTCATATCCTTGAAGATGTATCATGGAGGTGTTGCAACCAGATGTTCCATGGGAGAAAGATGGGCAATCTGCTCCCATGTGCCTCTGAAAGTCCACTGAAGGGTCAGCTCCAACTCAACAGTCTGTTGGCCAGAGACTTGTCTTCTATTAACCATTGAGCAGGTCCAGGATCACGTGTGTTTGCTGAGACACATCAGCTGCTATTATTTCATTTTCTGGGGTCTTATCTTTTGCCAATGTCCTGTCTTGTTTTTTAAGAAACCTTGATACTTTTGATCAGGAATGCATTTAGAAACTGAGTCTGAGTGTAGGCTGTCTCTACTATTAATAGAGTGTGACTGCTTTTCATTTTGCAGTTCAATTGGCAGAATGGAAAAACATGTATTGCTTAAATGCATATATATGTATATCTGTATTCCAAATTTCAGTTTTCTATACTTGGACTTAACTTCATTTCTTTGAGTTTACTTTTTTAACTGAAAACTTTGGTCCTACTCATATGGCTGTATATGTTTTCTCCTATCTCAAGTTACTTGTGATTCTTTTCCTTACCAATTGAGCATCAGATGTGAACCTTTTTAAACTCTCTTTCCTTTGTCTTTTCCTTTGGCAAGTTGCCTAGAATTTATGGAATGAAAGAAAGTTACAATCTTAGACTTTTAAATTTTAAAATTAACCTCATTTAAAAAAAGTTTCATGTCATGCTTTGTGACATTGACGTGATATATGAAATGTTTCTTTGCTTGGGATTTCTGCTCTCAGGGGTCTGTTGCATCGGACCAATGTCCCGAAGGAAACTGTTGATTATCTCATCTTTGGAACTGTTATTCAGGAAGTGAAAACAAGCAATATTGCAAGAGAGGTGAGTCAAACAATAGTTTTCTAAACTATATTTTATAGTTTTTGTGCTTTTATAGTTTTTATAATTTTAAAAGAAATGATAAAGTCATTTGGATTTTAGTTCATAGAATTTATTTTTTTAAAGTCCATGAAGTGAGTTACATTTGACTGAAAACTAGATGTTACATTTTGAATATTTAAGAGGGACTAGCTTCCCCTCTTCCAGTGCAGGGTAAGGCATGAAATACAGCTTCATCATTAGCCACAAGGTGAGAACCATGAAGGAAGGAAGAAGACTGCTTTTATGCCATCTTGTTGGCTTTGACCTTGTCAGTTCAAATTCAACTTAATGTTTTTTAGCCTCTGAATATGTAAACTCAAAGTGAATAATGAATGTTACTAATACTTAAAAGAAGTATCAAAAGAAGTCAAATGATGGTCTATTATTGGAGCTAGTTTTAGAAATGTTAATTTGCCGCTTGTGTTAGGAAAATAGAGATTATGAGAAAACTGGCTGATAATTATTCTTGGTACTGTGTTAGATAGCCTGGCGCTTTTTTTTTTTAAATCATTTACTCCAGTCTTTTGCAAAGTATTCATTTCCTAAGTTGGTTTTTGTTAGGAGAACATCACCTTGGCCTTACTTATTTGTTCCATAGAGTGGAAGGTCTGGAAGGCAGTTTTTACAGAGCTATTGCACAGAGAGCTTCCCCTTTACCCTAGTTGGCACAGGGCCATGTGATGTTTACTAGGCAACCCAGATAATGAAAGGCTGTGGAATTCCTGTAACGTGGCCACGAGACATTTCACCATGAATAGTTCAAATACGTTTTCTAGGTTTTGCCTCAGCTTAAAGTGATTATTTAGATAAAATTCACTCATTTCAAAGTCCTAAATATTTCCTTATTTCTAATTAACGTTTGCCGTCTGTTTCTGTCAGTCAAGGGAAAAGGGGAAATGAGCAGAACTGAAAAAACTTCTTCAGCTCCACCTTTGTACTTATTAATAGAGGCTGAAACTGCAGAAAGCCTGGTGTTACTGTTGTTTGAGGTGCCGTCAAATTGACTACAGCTCATAGCAACCCTCTGAATGACAGATTGGAAGCTTGCCCTGTCCTGTACCTTTGCCAGAATCTCTGACATGCACAAGCCCCTTGTGGCAGTCAAGTGTGTCAAACCATCTCATTGAGAGTCATCTTCACTTTTGCTGACGCTCTACTTTTCACAACATAATGTCCTTTTTCAAGGAACCCCAAACTTCTAAATATACCAGGAATGGTATGTGTCTTATGGAAACATCAAGGTATTCGCAATATTTTTTTAACTTTTTTTATTTTGAGACAATAGAATTCTTCTTACAAGGGCACTTAAAAAGTGAAATACAATATATATGAATGATACACAATGTGTATAACTTTGTATGCAAATTAATATAAAATTAGAGGGGGGAAAAGGGGGAAAATAGGTAACTCCATTTTAAAAAAAGGGGGTGAAGTATCAGCTTCAAATTTATCCACATTTCTGTTCTTCTGTACAAAAACTAAAGCAAAAATGTTTTCCTCTGAATTTTTTTTTACATTTTGCCCCACAATATTTTATGCACTTCAAAAATATTTTCAAAAACAAGAAGAGCCATAGAAACTAACTGGAAGGAGCTTCCACTAATAATTTTCTGGAATCTTCCCTGGATATTATCCCTCTCTCTGCTCAATATTGGAGACACCCTTGATGATGTAATTGGTTATGTGCTCAACTCCCAGGTGAAAGGTTGGCAGTTCAGACAGCACAGGGGGTGTCTTTGGGACAAGGCTGCGGGTCTGCTTTTGGAAGGTCACAACTTGGAAAACTCTCTTAAAGAGCATCTGTTCTGCACATGTGAGGTCTCCATGAGTTGGAATTGTCTCAGTGGCAACTAATAAGCACAAAAGCTGTGTACCAGTAATGCCAATTATGTCAGGCTATAGGTCATTTCTGCAGGGAATGGCTGGGTTGAAAATCAAAGTTGTATTGTGAACTCAAAGTCAGTATTTTTACCACCAAGCAATTTCTTTAGCACTTGTTGCCTGTATCAATTATGTCTTTGAGATACCCTGAAAGGCTTCTTCAGGCACTGAGTCCCATGAACCTGACTTTGCTGATCGAAGTCAGCATACTTCCCTCTCTCTATTTAATGGAGAAGCATTTTCCTTCCTCCAGGTAGTATAGTGTATTTAGAGACTAAGCTCGCCTTGAGAACTATTCTGACTTTAATTAGAAGCATGCGAACAAGGGTCACCAGCAGCCACTTCTATTTAAAGCTCCTTCAGTCCCGAGAGTCAGCTGGGGCCAAGGAGAGCACATGCTGGAAAGGACCTTGTGGCAATTAGGCCAGTGTGACCTCAGAGTGATCCTTACCCTTGCTCTGGAGCCACACTCTTCTCCTCCAAACGCTTGCCTCTCACATCCTTTTGAATCAGTCCAAGTTGAGAAGCTGACAGGTAGTTGCCAAGATGTAGTTTTCAGGCAATGGTTTCTGTTATAAAACTTAAACAGGACACTTTATATATCTTAAAATGATACTTAGGCCTACCTGGAAAGACCAGAATATGGTCATGTTGTGTGCACATACAAACACATTTATGTTTCTGTAGAATAGGTAAAGACCATAAAGGTATAAAAGTGTGTAAAGGTAAAATATATTTTAAGAAACATTGAACTCCTTTAATTGAGACTTGAAGACATGTTTATTTTAACAAATTATGAGAGCTTAATTGAGGATCATTTGTTTTAGAATTCCTCTTATTTGGAATCAGTATTTCTTACTAAATAGTTTGAAAGTGGCAGAGAGTAGGGATTGGATGCTTTATTTTCAAAGTTTTATTAAATTAAGTAGTATTTTATCATCACACTAAGCATTAATTCTTTATATAAATAAAAAAGGAAATCAGGCATTAAATGTTGTTGCTTTCTCCCACCACCCTGCACTATAATTTTCCCAGTAAATAGTATAATAAGAAAAGAATACATATTACATTTCCATGTTTGACTTACTATGCCATCATGATGAAGGCCATTTTCCTAGGATAAGTTGGGGATCAAAACATGGTGGGCATATGTGAGTGTCCTTTGAAATCTCTGTTGTGTCACCAACCTGGCCTCCTTCCCAGTTCTTTACTGGTCTAACCTATATTTTTCTGTGGTTCACTTTTGACTTAATTTTATAAAGTTTGTTTTATTGATTGACGTTGTTGCATATCTGGCAGGATTTTCCATTCTACTTTGCAGTCTTATCTGAAATAGCAGACCGTGGGTAAGCCAGGCCAGTGCCGTGGTCAAAACCTCCAGGCAGCAGGGATAGACTTAGAAGGAAGCCTGAGGTGCCTGAGTGGGACCTCTGTGTTTTTACTGGAATTCTTTTTTTTTTTAATGAAAAAAGAAATCATTTATATTTTTATAATAATATAATTTTCATTCATCTACTTTGTGTTCCACGTATGTACATTGTGTTTTACACAGTCATTCTGTTTTGTTCATGTACATTTGTGGGGTTTTCCTAATAAATACATTCATGAAAGTGTGTAAGCCAGCTGCTACTGCATGTTATATTCCTAATATCCCCCTTTTAGATAGCCAATTTCTGGTTTGTTCATCCCTTTCAAGGCAATACTCTGAGGGGTCGAGTTTGTCTCTTTTGCTGAAGAATATGCTGTTTAACTTGGAAACTTTGAGCATCTGCATCCACAAGCAAAGTTCAGTCCAGAATGAGCCACCAGGTTGCAGCAAGTTACCCTACCTAGCTCACAGCATAGAGTACCTCCTCTGTCTGGTTGAGTTCTGGTCAACTCATTCTCAGCCATCTGTGGCTAGGTTCAAATGGGCATCAGCTGTGAGCCCAGGAGTCCACACTTCTCCATGCATTCTAGACCTGTTGGTTTCCTCACTCAGCCCTAGACTCCCCTTGGGGCCAAGCCAACAAGCCAGGAGTCCTCACAACTCAACCCCTCAAGCCAACAACCTTTCCCTACTCATCCACACATGTGTGTATGCTAGGTGGGCAGTGCTGAAGGAGCACTTTCAAGCTCAGCCTGTTTCTTCATTGTTGTGTTCCTCCCTCTTCCACACCTGTGGATCCAGGTGACACAATGAAAGAGCGTTCTCCAACCTCAACTCTTGAAAGTGGGCTGTGATGGGCACCAGCTTTACCTAGCTCAGAAACCAAACAGCTTGTTCCAGTTTAGGAAAAACAAAACAGTCTCTTCCTTTCTTTGTTTCTTTTTCTTTCTCTCCTTTCCTGCTGGCCTTTCTTCCAAATGTGAATCTCTTCAATCAAAAGTCTTTACTGGAATTCTTTACAAGTTACTTTTATGTGTGAGAACTTTTGCTTTACTGCTAGACCTAGGCACAGGTCATGAAAAAGCTCCATGCCATAATATAATTCATTATTCTGTGAAGTATATTTAACAGATTTGCTTTCAATATATTTGAAAAGGCGTACATCAATGAATGAATATTTTTTTTAAAAAAAGAAAGTGAACTGGGGGAGGGGAAGAGAGGAAAATGTACAACATTAATTATGAAATTAATGAAAATCCAACTTTTCTGTAAACTTTTGTTAAAATTATAATTAAGATAAAAAAGTTTTACTAAGACAATGCAGTCTAGTTCAGTTATATTTTGGTAAGCTTGAAGGCTCTGAGCAGTTTTGTAGAGTGCCTGTCAATTAATGGCATATGAAAAATTGTAAACTGTTATCTGTGATGGGCTTAATTTTATCTTCAATACCATGTTACTCTGCAGTGTGTCACATTAAAAAAACATGCAGAGAAGTAGTGCCAAAGCATCACTTGCACATCAGGATTTCTCCATTAAGTGATCACTTGCTGTTACTTCCTGCAGGCCGCCCTGGGAGCTGGCTTCTCTGACAAGACTCCTGCTCACACTGTCACAATGGCTTGCATCTCTGCCAATCAAGCCATGACCACAGGTATGTTTTTTTTATGTACCACGGAGTTGGAACTGACCCCTAGCTGACCCTCCAGTGGACTTTCAGTCAGTAATCCTATGGGAAGGTAATTGCCAAGCCTTCTCCTGTAGAACAGCTGGGTTCAAGTTGCATGATTTTGGGATTGCAGTGCAGCTTCTCACCACTAAGTCACCAGAGCATCCCTGTATGTTTATTTTAAAGCAGAAAGTATGTAATAGTTTTCCTCTGACCTTTATGTGATCTTATAAAAAGTACTTTTATCAGGCTAACAGAGATGAGAAGGGAGGGAGAGAGGAGCAAAATTCAGTAAATAGATAAGGTGAAAGTGAAGGCAATATACAATAAAGGTATGCTGAGAGCTCATAATTAATTTTTTAGTCAGTTGTAATATGTTATAAAACAATGTGTAGGAATGATTTAATGAGAACCAATATGATTTATAAACTTTCACTAAAAAAATAAATAGAAAAAAATAGTGTTTTTTAGAAATGAAGTTCTAATACATGCAACAATATGGGTGAACCTTGAAAATATACTGAGTGAAAGAAGTCAGTTGCAAAAGGACAAATATTGTGTCATCCTACTTATATGAATGTCAGATTCAGAATTTCCCATGCCAATCCATTTCATTTTGCCCATGCTTAGTATAACATCCTGCTCGGAAGGGTGAAAGGACAGTGCAGCAGAGGAAGATCTTTGATGAGATGGAGTGATATAGTAGTAATTGGCATTATGGGGGTAGTTGTGTAGGAGTCAGTGAGAGTGGCTCTGGACAGGGCAGGCTTCAGAGCTGTTGTACATAGGGTTGCTATGAGTTGCAGATAACTTGACGAGACATAACAGCAGTATGTCACTATTTATGCATTCCATTTCTTCTTTAACAGTGTCCAATTTTCCTATATTTATACTTCTCACATTCCACATTTCAGTCATTAGAGACTGTTTGCAACTGTTCTTCCCAGTACGAAGGCCCAGCCTCTGCTGCCATATCTGTAGTTGAATCTAAGTGTGCTCTATAGTACATTGGGTTTTCAAAGTCCTGTTATTTCAGAAGTGGATGACCTACCTGACTTAATTTGGATGTTCAGCTTTAGAGCAATATCTAACAAACATTTTAACCAAAAGAGCAGATGAAAGACATTACTCAGCTAACAGATTCAGCATTGATCAGGCTCCCTGCTTTGCTTATGTGTTGTGTTCCAAACCCCTGCCGTGCCCTGCCAGCATCCAGCTCAGTTCCCTCTCCTTGCCCCTCCAGCACCTCCCTTCCCACTTCCCCTAGCCAATCCTGGTATGATGGCCCAGGCCTCCAACCACCTCTGTCCTCCCATTTCCTCTCAACTCCCTTGTGATATTGGTGCTCCTGGTGCAGGCACACTCACTCAGGGGCAGCACGGTAAAACTCTGGGGTGTCTACAGTTAAACAATCCAAAGAGACAAACTTGCTTGGCCAAAGAAGGGAAGAACGAATTCAAACCTCAAGTTGCAATACTTACAGATGTTAGGAACAGAATGTTGTATGATCCAGGAAGCACCAAAAGAAAGTAGAAGGAGTACCCAGAGTCACTATACCAAAAAGAACTGACTGACACAGAATAATTTCATGAAACTATATGATCAAGAGGCAGTGGTAATATAGGAGGAAGTTCAGGCTGCTCTGAAGAAACAGGCAAAAAACAAGACCCCAGAAATTGACACATATCAGTTGACATATTTCAACAAATAGATGACTCTGGACATGCTCACCAGGTTGTGCCAAGAAATCTGGAGGACGACTATCTGGCCAACTGACTGGAATAGATCCATATTTATTCCCATTCCAAAAACAAATGACACAAAAGAGTGTGGAAATTATTGAACAATATCACTGATATCACACACAAGCGAGATCCTGCTGAAGATTATCCAGAAACGACTGGAGCACTATATCAACAGAGAACTGCCAAATGTGCACGCTGGTTTTAGAAGAGGCCATGACACTAGGGATATTATAGCCAATGTTAGATGGATCTTAGCTGAAAGCAGAAAGTACCAAAGGAATATCTATCTATGTTTCATTGACTATGCAGAGGCATCTGACTGTGTGGATCACAACAAACTGTGGTTGACTTTTAGAAGAATGGGAATTCCAGAACACTTGATTGTGCTTATGAGAAACCTATACTTGACCAGAAAGCAGTTGTCAGAACAGAGCAAGGAAACACAGCATGGTTCAAAATCAGGAAAGGAGTGTGCAGGGATGCATCCAGTCTTCATACCTTTTCAATCTATATGCGGAACAGATCATTTGGGAGACTGGATTTTATGAGGAG